GACGGACTCTCCCACTCCCCCCTCCCAAATACACACACACACTGTAACTTTAATCAGTCTAAATAAGCTCTTTTGCACTACAAATCATTATATCTGCACTGTTGTCTACTTCACTGGTTTGCCATCTGCCTTGTGCTGCTTTATATATATATTTTTACATTTTACCTTATTTGTATATTTGTATAGTTGTATTTTATATTTAATCTGTATATCTGTATTTATGTTCTACTGTTAGTGTTATCTGTATGCACCAAGGGTCTGAGAGTAACGCAATTTCAATTCTCTGTGTGTATGTGCTGTACATGTGGAAGAATTGACAATAAAGCAGACTTGACTTGACTTGATAAAACTGTTCCATTGTTAGCTCATGTTAACTCAGGTCCATTAAATAATATTAACAGATACAATGTCTGCTTTTAATACTGTTTTAGTAATAGCTGAAATTAACTAAGATTAGCAAATGCTTTAGAAGTATTTTTCTTTGTCCGTTCATGTTAACTAATGTAGTTAAGTAATGTTAACAAATGAAGAGAAAACAAAAGTTTTCCAAAATCAGTTTTCTGCAAGCTGCAATTAAGTTTGTCTAGGCATATTTTCACAAGTACCATTTGGAGCCTTCACACAGTCTCACCTCCGCTCTCAGTGTCATGGTAGTTGGGGTCCAGTCCCTTCTCCAGAGCTTTACTCAACTTCTCCACCGCTCCAGCATGAACATAATCCAGGAACTTCTTCAGATTGGCCTGTAGAGGGAGACACACACAGACACTTCACCTCCTCCCTATAAAACACAAAAGACTATTTCTACAATTATATAAGATCTGTTGTGGCAGCTGTACTTTTTTGTCTTGTTTTTACCTTGGTGTGTAGCTTCGCTAGTTGTTTCTCTTCCAGGTTTGTCTGTTTGTAGACCCGCGTCTTATATCTGAACTGTAAGTTAAAAACACCAGCAAGAGAGGAGGAACTGTTTACAAGTTCTGAGAATCAAGAGGTTCAAAATAGATGATGGGACTGTTTGATTCAAACTGCAAACCAGAAATGCATCACGACTGGAGACTTTAAATGTGACGCATTTCTGTTTTGCAGTTTGAAGGACTAAAAAGGATAGTTAAAAAAAATAAATAAAATAAAATTAATAAATTTAATTAAAATAAATTAAATTAAATTAAATTAAATTAAACTAAACTAAACTAAACTAAACTAAACTAAATTAAATTAAATTAAATTAAATTAAATTAAATTATAAAAAAAAAAAAACACAGCAAATAAAATACAAATAAATACAATACAAATAAACAGATGTTATTAATGCCTAAATAAATATACCAGAGTAATTAAACAATTTACATCTTAAATTAGAATAAAACTGACATACATTTAGACAAGTCAACTATATAATTAAGGCAGATCTGAACAGAAAGGCTGAGCCTTTTTCCTCAGGGAAAATATTTTTCATAAATGTCGGGTTAGGGAAATTTGTCACATGTGTTTTATATGTTTTTTTAATATATATTTTATATTCATTAACACTACATTTATTAAATGCAGTTTCTGAAAGCCAAAACAATGATCTAAGTTCATTATTGCTGCTCCATGATTTTTATTTCATGTTTAAATTGTGCTATAATGCCATTAAAATCATTATACACTTTAAACACAAATAAGTTGTGGAAAATAAATAAGTTGTTTAAACACAAACAAGTTATAATTTTTCATACAATAAGGTCCCATTATTTTATGTCAATGCATTTAATAATATTAACAAAAAATAGCAATACATTTGTTACAGTGTTTAATAGTCTTAGAACTGGTTAATAAAAAAATAAGTATTCATTGTTAATGTTAGCTCAGGTCCAATAAATATTCATATCAAAAGATATGATAAAAGACTCAAGATAAAACATATTTTATATTAAAAAA